GGGAAGTGGCAGCGCGTCTCCTCGGGCCGCCGGAGGACCACGCTGCTGGCGTTCACCCACTGCACCAGCCAGCTCATCTGGCAGATGCAGTTGAAGGGGTTGCCAGAGGCCGTCACAGCCCGCAGCCTGGGGAAGAAGCTGGAGAAATCCCGAGGGATGGTGTTGATGTTGAGGTTGCTGATGTCCAGCTCCTGGAGGTTGTGAAGGTTGTGGAAGTCCTCTGCCAGCAGCTGGGAGATGCGGGCGTTGCCAGCCAGGCTGAGCTTGGTGAGGCTCCCCAGCCGCCGCAGCACCGCCGGGACGCGCTCCAGCAGGTTGTCGGAGACGTCCAGCTCGTGGAGGTTGTTCTGGGCCTGGAAGAGCTCCTCGTTTAAGCTCGTCAGGCCCAGCCCCGCGATCTTCAGGGACTCGATGTTGACAGCGTGGAAGGCCCCCGGTGCGATGGCAGGGATTTTGTTCCAGCTGATGTCCAGCAGCAGGAGGTTGGGCAGGTTAAGGGGGGGCACGGCCCAGAGCTGGTTGTTCTGCAGCTTGAGCTCCAGCAGGTTCTCCAGCGTGTCAAAGGCAGCGGCATGGATGTGCTGGATCCTGTTCCTCTGTAGGTAGAGCCGCTCCAGCAGCCGCAGCCCGTGGAAGGTCTCGTTGGTGATCTCCTGCAGCTGGTTGGAGGACAGGTCCAAGTTGACGAGCTCTGTCAGGGGCTGGAAGATGTTTTTCTGGATGCTAGCGATCTTATTTTGTGAGAGGTCCAAGAGCTGGAGGGCGGGCAGGCCGGCGAAGCTGTCCTCGCTGAGCATCGTGATGCCGTTCTCAAAGACGTAGAGGGAGAGGGTGTTGGGGGGCAGCCCCCGGGGCACGGTCTGGCCCCGTCTGGCCGCGCACAGGATGGTCTTGGGGTCTTGGCACTGGCAGCCCGCTGGACATGCCCCAGCCAGCTCCCCGAGGGCCAAGAGAAGCAGCGTGCAAAGGATCAGCTGGTTCATGGTGTCAGCTCTGCGGGAGAGAGAAACCCAGCCAAGGTTAGGGGCCAGGCCCTGCCGGGGGGGGGAGCCCCGGGCTGGCAGGGCGGTGGGGTGCCTCAGACCCCCCGCTGCTGCCCCCGCACTGCTGCTGGGGTGAGAGCTGTCTCCCTGTGCCCTGCCTGGGACCCTCCGGCCCCAAAGGGACCACGGAGGGAGCGGGGAAAGTCCCCGCTGCGCTCCTGCCTCCTCTGTGCTGCTCTGGCCCAGGACAGAGCTGGCGAGAGCGAAGCGGCACCACCCCAGCCCCACGCTCTCCCCCTCCCTGGACCCCCAGGATTTAGGAACATGGCACCTTTGTGCACCCCAGGCTCTACCATGAGACGTGTCCCACTGGCCTTGGCCTGGCCTCTTGGTACCGTCTCCGGTGGGGCACCGAGACCCCCGGTACGTGGCAGGGCAAGGGCCCCTACCTCCCCGGCTGCTCTCAGCAGGGTGCAAATCAAACATGGGGGATGTGGAGCAGCCCGGCTTGGGAGCCAGGGGAGGGGTGGGAGCCTGGCTGGCTTTCCCGGCACACCGAGCACCGCTTAACCCTTTGCTTGTGCCGCCGTCCTGGCGGCTGCACCCACGGGGTCTGTTCCTGCCCAGATTGCCAGCAGCAGCAATCCCCTCGGGGACGGGGGCACCCAGAGGTGGCCCCCACTGTGGGGTGGCCTGGGCACAGGCTGTGGGGCCGAAGGAGCCGGGTGCTCCCCTGCCCCACGGGTCCCTCCTGTGCCCTTCAGAGCCGGCTGCGTCCCCACAGAGTCCCGGGGCTCGAACTCACCCCCGAGCCGGCTCCTGTCCCCTGGGGGCCGCGGGTCACCTTGCTGTTCCCCTTCCTGCTGGCACCCTGGGGACCCAGCGCAGCACCCTGGGCTGCGTCCTCGTCCCTCAGGGACGGGGTCAGGGACAGAGGGGACGATGCTCTTGGGGTGTAAGTCCCCCTGCCCCAGCCCCCCGCAGGTGCCCCAGCTGATGTCCTTGCTTCACAGGCGACTGGTTCCTCTCTCAACCTCTTCTTTCAGCCCTTTTAATGACACTCCTAATTAGCACGGGTGAGGGGGGTGGCAGCAGGGACCCGATGCCTCCTGCCACCCTGTCTCAGGGGCAGAGGCAAACCCCACCAGGCTGCTGGAGGTGAGGGTGCCACCAGCACCCTGTAAGGGGCCCCCGCCGTGTGCGGGGGGCTGTCGGGTCACGCAGCAGCACGTGCCGCCTGCCCCGGCCGCCCCTCCGCCGTGGGGGGCCCTGTCCGGTGCCGGGACACCACATCCTGCACCGGTGGCTGTGGGAGGGACTGGACCCACGCTGTGTCCCCAGGCAGCGGAGCCCCCTGTGCCACAGAGGCACCGGCACTCGCCTGCAGCCGGACGGGGTTAATGGGGTGGCTGGCTCGGTCCTGGCCTCCTCCCCGGGTGGGGTGCACCCGAGGGTGGGGTGCGCCCGCGCCACTGGGCAGGGTCACCGCAAGCTGCCTGAGTCACTTGGCCCAACTGGCCCTGCCCCGCCGTGACCCGTGCCGTCAGCCCCCCCGACACCAGGGAGGAGCTGTGCCCTGTCCAGGGGGTCACCGTCACCGAGTCCCCTCCCCGGCACAGCCCCCAGCCCCTTCGCTGATGCCACTGCCAGGTCCCACCGCACCCCAACATCATGGCCAAGCTGTTGGTGCTCGGCATGAGGACCGAGCAGAGCCGAAAAAGCATCATGGAGGCCTTGTGAAGCACTTTTGGGGGCTAAGGGGGCTGGGGGCAGGCCCGGCGCCCCTCACCGCCACACCAGCCCTTGAGGTGGCTCCGGCAGCCTGAGGGTGCTGGTTGGCAGGCAAAGCCCTGGCGCAGGGTGCCGGGCACGCCCGCGGTGCCACCACCGTGCCAGGCCGCCCGGGTGGGCAGCCAGGCCGGGGTTGGTTTTGCAATGCCAGGGTCGGGTTTCGCTGACGTGTCAGTACTGCAACCAGCTGCTGACTCCAAGTCTCTCTCGTCCCTTTAATTACGCTGGCATTTCCTTCCCTCCCCGCCTGCCAGGCTCCCCGCTCCGGGCAGGTTCGGCTGGCCTGGCTGCGGCCACAGCCACACATCCCCGCCTCGCCACGGGCGCCGGGCAGGCCGGCAGGGTTGCTCCACCCGCACGCCTCCACCACCTCTCCTTCGGCATCACCCAGCTCCGCCGGCACGCGCCGGCATCCCGCCCTCGCGCCCTGATGCTATTTTTCAAGGCAGTGAGGGGTTAACCCAGCCCAGGCTCGCTGGGGTGCTCACCCCTCCAAAACGGGGGGGCAGGGGAACAGCCCCCCCAGGCCCCGGGGGGGGTCCCCAACACGGAGAGGGGGCCCTGGTTCTGCCGGAGGTGTTAGGACCGCCCTGCCAGCGGCCTGCTGCTGCCTTGGCTGGGCTCCCCTGCGCCTGCACCGCAGATATTTGCCGAATTATTCATATTTTCCGGCTGCGGGGAGGATCTGGGCTCAGATTCCCCCAGTCCCGGCTCAGCCTTTCCCTGCCAGCCTGCTGGGGTGGGAGGGCCGCGTCCCCCCTCCCCGCCTGCAGCCCCCCAGGCCGGGCCGTCCAGCTGCCTGCCCAGGGCGAGGGACTCGGCAAGGGACGCCCTGCTTCGCACCCACCACGTGTTTTAAGGACGAGGCCGATGCCGTCACCACACCGCGGGGTGACACCTGCGCAGGAAGGGCCGGAGGAGCCCTCCTGGGCGTCCCTTCCCCTCCCTGCGGCTCAGGGACGCGGCTGTTCTCCCCAGGGACCCCGGCACGGCCAGGATGTCCCTTCCCGCACCGGCAAGCGAGGCCCCGCGACCGAACAAAGCCACCGTTGTTGCCGGCAGGCAGCCAAGCCGGTGGGCTGCCTCCTCGGCCAGCGGGCACCGGCACAGGCAGGATGGGGGCCCTGCACGAAGCCAGGCCCTGAGCTCTGTCCCCGTCACCGCAGGGAGGGACGCAGTGCCAGGCAGGATGCAGGCGCTGCTCCCCTCCCTTACGCCCCCCCAAAACAAGCCCATGTCGGCACGTGCCCCCTCCCGAGACCCAGCCGGGGGGAGATGCAGGATTGAACCCTTAATCCTCCTCCCCTTCAACCCACCCTGCGCCGCCGCAGCTCCCACCTCCTCCCAGGCTCCCCTCCCTATTTAATTAAAGTTTCCGCAGCAGCCCCAGAGGAATGCAGGCCTGGTTATTGCATTCCCCAGGGCTCTCGCCGGCCCCTCGGTCCCGCTTCTGCCCCTTTGACCCAGCCGCACTCCCCGACTCAGGTGCAGGCAAGGAGAAAAACCAGCAGAGCCGCTTTACCGGCAGCCAAACCGCCTCCGGAGGAGGCCAAACGCCGGCAGAGGTTGGGAGGAGGGCGGCGAAGCTGCCACGCGTTTCCTCCTGCCGCGTCCCGCCGGCAGAGCCAGCCGGGCAGGCAGCGCTTGCGTCAGGGCCACCCGGCCTTGGCGTGGTGCGGGGAAAAATAGTAATTAGTGTCATCCTTGACGGTGGCACTGCCCAGCGCCGTGTGGGCAGTGGCACGGCCCCGGCTGGGTCAGGCCAGTCCAGCTGCCCCGGTCACGGCAGGATGAGACCTGTCGGCATGGGGCACGTCAGCTGGAGTGGGTGTGGGGGGGACACGAGTAGGGTTTTTTGGTTGGGAAGAGGGGTCTTGGAACTGGAGCATCATCCTTGCTGGGATGCACTGGCTCTCGTGGCAGCTGCCAACCAAGGGAGCCAGGCAAGGGACACTTACCCCACGGTGGCCCAAAGTCACACCTGGACAGGGTGGCGGGGGCCAGCCTCCCCCGACGCATGCCGGTTGACGATGAAGCACGCAGGGAGCGGGCGGCAGGAGAGGCGGTAGGGCATCCCCGCCGGCCAGGCTGGCCGGTGGCCCTGCTGGCACGCGTCCCTCTGCGCCAGCCGGGGGGGGACCCCTGCTGGCACTGGCCGGGGGCC